AGTAGCTTCTGGGTTCCCCATCGACTCAGAACTTACTTTACCACCCTGCCGGCAGAAAATGTATCACTCCCTGTCTAGTTAGTATATAACATTTCTACGACTTCAGCATGTTCATATTTCAAAATGCAGACGTCTTTTGTTTCCCACAAGCAAAACTGTGACTCTGCCCAGTGCCAGAGGGGGCAAGAGCTGCCAACTACCACACCTTAGCACGTGTATCTTAGGTTTGGTGCGATCCACTTTGGTGTAGCGGTTAGGAGCGCGGACTCCAATCTGGGAGAACCGGGCTTGATTCCCCACTCCTCCATATGCAGCTGCTGGTGTGACTTTGGGTCACTCACAAGTTCTCTCAGAGCTGTCCAAGCCCCACCTACTTCACAGGGTGTCTGTAGTGGGGAGGGGAGGAGAAAAGAAGATTGTAAGGCGCTCTGAGACTCCCAAGTGAAGGGCAGGGTATAAATCCCCTCTCCTCTCCTCTCTCTCCAAACTCTCTGGTAGAAGCCATTTTTACCATAGAGTTTTTGCCCAAATACTGGTGTGTCACCACGATGGCACAGTGTGATGACATAACTAACAGGGCACCCTGGAAGTGACCAGCGATGTAGCCCGGGCCTCCCTCCCAATCCAGGTAAGCCTCCACGTCCCCCGCCGGTTGCCAGGAGGAACGTCGCGATCCTCCTCTAGCCCTATATTGGGTAGAGGTGGAGGATCGATGTCAGACAGAGTCTTCCTTCTTCAGGCAGAGAAGCCCTGGATTCAAGCCACGTCTAAAACCTCGCACTTCGCTAGCATGTCTACGCTTTGTCGGAACAGAGGGGGAGCACAAAGTATTCTGGGAGCAAACAGTGAAGCGTTTCTCCCTTTTAACAACTCCAGTCTTTCATCTTTTCTTCCCCTTTTCCGTTTGAAACAGAATACGGTCTGCGCCTGGCCAGCCACATATTCGTGAAAGAAATATCCCAGGACAGTCTAGCGGCGAGAGACGGCAACATTCAGGAAGGTGACGTTGTCTTGAAGGTAACGTAGACGACCATTCCGTATGTCTGTTTTTGTTGTGGTTTTTGGCTCGGTGAAGGAGACACTCCAGCGACTTGTGTCTCGGTGGTGCGATCACTCGGGAGGGCCCGACCCCTTTCCCCTCCCCTACTCCGGATTCCCTAGCACGAAAGACTGCAAAGAGGATAAATGTAAGCTTCCTTTTTAGCAAAACGGCCCTCTTTGCTCAGTCAACGGCATTGCCCATGCCAGAGCACGGGCGCAAACACCCGCCACGTGCCAACAGAGCCCGGATTGCGTTGAGCAGACCTGCACAGCAGCTCCGCTCCGCCTAGCGGCCCCGACTGCCTTAAGACAACACTCCTTCTGACCGGAGTCAGAGCTAAATCACCGCGGCTGGCAGATATTAGTCCCTCGGGAGCAGCTCGGTGCCCATTCACTCGACATAATTCGTAATCCCGTTGATGTAATTAAGGCACTGGGGCAGGATCTCCCCTCTACAGTTACGGCCGTTCCTTCTGTGGATGTCTAAAGTTGTCAGCCAACAGAAGTGAGATTGCATTTATGCATCTCTGAACCAGTGGTGCGGTTTACCTCCGGGCCGCTCTCCACCACCGCCCTTCGCAGTGTTTGTGGGGTAATCAGGCTGCACCAACACCTTATTTGCCCGGATCAATGCCTCTCCCTCTTAACTCACTGTTATCCCACGCTCCTTTCTCGGATGTTGAGAGTCAGACTGGACGGTCTGGAACAGTGTTCCCTCTAAGCTGAGTGAGTGTGAGCTAGCTCACAGTTTTTCTAGCCTCCGTCTCTCACATTTTCGTCCTCGCTCAGGAAGGGAGGGCTCCAGAGCAAACTAATTCCTGCAGTAGCCAGATCGCTCGCTCACAGCTTAGAGGGAGCATTGGTCTGGAGGAAAGCAGCATCAAGTCGCATCGAGGGCGACCCTGTAGGGGTTTCAAGGCAAGAGATGCACAGGGGTGGTTTGCCACTGCCCGCCTCTGCGTAGTGACCCTGGGCTTCCTTGATGGTCTGCTTAGCTTCTGAGATCAAATTAGCCTGGGCCATCCAGGTCAGGGCAGACAAACAGAGGTGGTTGGCCACTGCCTGCCTCTTCATAGCAACCTGGACTTCCTTGGTGGCCTGGTCTCCCATCCAAGTACTAACCAGGGCTGACCCTGCTTAGCTTCCGAGACCTGACAAGACTGAGCTAGCCTGGCTCATCCAGATCAGGGAAGAGACAAAGAAAGGTGGTGTTGCCCTTGCCTGCCTCTGCATAGCAACCCCGGACTTCCCTGGTGGTCTCCCATCCAAGGACTAACCAGGGTTGGCCCTGCTTAGCTTCTGAGATCAGACCAGATCAGACTAGCCTGGGCCATCCGGGTCAGGGCAGACAAACAGAGGCAGAGGCAGACAAACAGAGGCTGCCTGCCTCTTCGTAGCAACCTGGGCTTCCTCGGTGGTCTCCCATCCAAGTACTACCCAGGGCCGACTCTGCTTAGCTTCTTGAGATCTGATGAGATCGGGCCAGCCGGGGCCGTCCCAGTCAGTCTTGATAGCCCTTATCAATACACTCTGTTTTGTTCTCCCCTTTCTGTATCTGAGACTCAGGGCTATTTTTGGGCGGGAACGCACAGGAACGGCGTTCCGGCTGGCTCCCGAGTTGGCCACGCCCAGCAGGAACTCATTAGCATAATAGGCCACACCCAACAGCAGGCACTCATTAGGATTGGCTACATTTGGGGTGTGTGGCCTAACATGCAAAGGAGTTCCTGCTACAAAAAAAGCCCTGGGTAAACAGAATAACAAGCAAAAGGTGGGTGTGGGTGGATGACCACACTTCTGGTAACATGGGGGTGTGTCCTAATGTGCTAATGAGCTGTGCTAACAGGGGTGTGGCCTAATATGCTAATGAGTTTCTGCTGTTGGGTGTGGCCTATTATGCTAATGAGTTCCTGCTGGGCTTTTTCTACAAAAATAGCCCTGATGAGTGTTACTGGGATCTTACCGTGGAAGAGCTGGGCTAGGCTGCTAGAAGTTGCAGTGGAGGGAGGTCGGGAGGTAGCAAAAGCCCCCCCCCCTTTTTTTTACAGGGACACTATCAATAGGCTCGGTTTCCATGATGTAGCACAGCGAGAAATCTCAGGCCAAAAATCTGGCACTTAAAGCCCCCTCCCTTTTTTCCGTCACTGTTTTAATTTGTTAAAAGTTGGTCAAGTCAGACCCAGCCTGATAAAGTGGGCCTGACGCTGGCACCGGAAAAGGAGGAATAAGCGAAAGAAGCCGTTCGTCTAATTGAGGCCATTAATTCTGGGAAATAAATTCCTGGATTCCCTTTCGCTTCGGCGAAGTTTTTCAGGGAGATTCGTTCTGCTGACCGCAGTGCCCTGCCTCTGCGCAGTTGGTGCCGCAGGATTTCTGCTCCTACCACTGCCGCGGCTCCCCCCCCCCAATCTCTGAAAATGTCACGACTCAAGCAACCAAAGGGGCTGTATCTGCTAGAACATTGATCGATAGGAAGAGGATAAGCGAGAGACCTCTTTCTCCTCTCCTCTCCTCTCCTGATTCGTCCGAGAGATGCCATTTTAAGACGGAACTGCCGACTTCCCCTTCGGTTCCTATCAGTAGTCCTTTTGCTCTGTTGCAGATAAACGGCACAGTCACGGAAAATATGTCATTGACAGATGCCAAGACCCTAATAGAAAGGTCAAAGGGCAAGCTGAAGATGGTGGTTCAAAGGGATGAGCGGGCGACTCTGTTGAATGTCCCAGATCTTTCTGATAGCGTTCACTCCGCCAATGCTTCAGAAAGAGATGGTGAGTATTGGGTGTGTGTTTTTTTGGTTGTTGTTCGCTCTTTCCCCTCGAGACGGATAAGCATAGTTACCTACCAGGGCAGCAAACGCTGAACTGTTAAAGGCAGTGTCTTGTAGCCTTGTGCTGCCAGGGCTCTTTTTGTAGCAGGAATTCCTTTGCATATTAGGCCACACACCCCTAATGTAGCCAATCCTCTAAGAGCTTACAGAGCTCTTCTTACAGGGGCTACTGTAAACTCTTGGAGGATTGGCTAAATTAGGGGTGTGTCGCTTAATATGCAAAGGAGTTCCTGCTACAGAAAGAGCCCTCTCAGCTGAGTCCAAATCCTTCCTCGAATGCAGCGATCCCCAACATGGCGCCTGGTGCCTGCCAAGAGTTTTTAGAAAGTGGGCCGGGCCGGGTGGGGCTTCTGTCTGGCAAGGGTTCTGATTGGCTGTGCGAGTGTTTAAAAGCATTGCTTTGGCGGCAGCCGCCAACCACGGCGCAAGGGCCTTCACTGTGCCTGCCATTTTGTGGCTGTGCCCACCAGGTTCTGCCAGAATCCCAAAGGTGCCCACAGGCTCAAAAATGTTGGTGACCGCTGCTCTACCGGAAGTGGCCCCTTCGTTTCCCTCAGAGCCCGGGGGAAGACTCCAAACTCAGCTGAGGGGAGTGGGTAGGGGATGCGTCAGATCGGGCCGGACGTGAGTGGATCAGAAAGGGGAGAGGGGGGGGAACGATTTCGAAAGGATAAACTGATCGTCAGGGTCCCGTCGAGGATTTCAGCGGTTTCCCTCACAAAAAGCACGAGCGGTGAGTTTTGAAGTGAAACTGTTGCGATCTTATTTGTAAAACGCTTTGTGGGAAGAATCCCCCTCCCCCCAGCTGTAGCCTGTCTCCATTTTGGGTAGGGTCACGCCATCCTTTTGATTATAACCATCTCATGGGGGGAAACCCCGGCTTTTATTTAACAGACATCTCAGAAATTCAGTCGCTGGCATCCGATCATTCCAACCGATCCCATGACAGGCCCCGCCGCAGTCGCTCGCGATCTCCTGACCAGCGGTCGGAGCCTTCAGACCATTCCAGGCATTCTCCACAGCAGCCCAGCAACGGCAGGTGATGGTCGCCTCGCGCGGTTCTAAAAATCGACTTCGGCAGACTGGCTTGGGGCGCGTTTGGGCGCATGGCACCGCAGCCGGAGGGCCTTGGTTGCATGACGCTGCGGCAACCTGAGAGGGCATGGCAAGCATTGACATTGGTGGCGTAGGGCGGGTTAGCTGTCTTCATTCCCTTGGACTTACTGTGCTTGGGTTAGGGACATAAGAAGAGCCCTGCTGGATCAGAGCAGTGAAGGTCCCTCCAGTCCAGCATCCTGTCTCGTGCAGTGGCCAGCCAGTTCCTCTGGAGGGCCAGCAACAGGGCAGAGAGGCCGAGGCCTTCATGAGAACATCAGAAGAGCCCTGCTGGATCAGACCAGTGAAGGTCCATCTAGTTCAGCATCCCGTCTCACACAGTGGCCAACCAGTTCCTCTGGAGGTCCAACAACACGGCATAGAGGCTGAGGCCTTCCCCTGATAAGAACATCAGAAGAGGCCTGTTGGATGAGACCAGTGGTCCATCTAGTCCAGCATCCTGTCTCACACAGGGGCCAACCAGTTCCTCTGGAGGTCCAACAACACAGCATAGAGGCTGAGGCCTTCCCCTGATAAGAACATGAGAAGATCCCTGCTGGATCAGAACAGTGGTTCATCTAGTCCAGCATCCTGTCTCACACAGTGACCAACCAGTTCCTCTGGAGTCCAACAACAGGGTATAGAGGCCAAGACCTTCTCTTGATGTTAACAACTTAAGAACATCAGAAGAGCCCTGTTGGATGAGACCAGTGAGGGTCCATCTAGTACATAAGAACATAAGTGAAGCCAATGTTGGATCAGGCCAGTGGCCCATGCAGTTCAACACTCTGTTACACAGTGGCCAAAAATACCAGGTGCCATAGGAGGTCCATCAGTGGGGCCAGGACAATAGAAGCCCTAGTGGCCGTCCAGTTGCTCTGGAGTCCAACAACAGGGCATAGGGGCCAAAGCCTTCTCCTGATGTTAGCAACTTAAGAACATCAGAAGAGCCCTGCTGGATCAGACCAGTGAGGGTCCACCTAGTCCAGCATCCCATCTCACACAGTGGCCACCCAGTTCCTCTGGAGCGCCAACAACAGGGCATAAAGGCTGAGGCCTTCCCCTGGTGTTGCCTCCTGGCTCTGGGATTCAGAGGGCCAGTGCCTCCAAATGTAGAAGTTCCCTTTAGTCACCTTGGCTAGTAGCCACTGATGCACCTCTCCTCCGTGAATCTGTCTGATCCCCTTTGAAAGCTGTTTATTCCTGTGGCCATCACTACATTTTCTGGCAGCGAATTGCACATTTTAATCACTCATTATGTGAAGAAGCATTTCCTTTTTTCCATCCTGAATCTGTTGCCCATCAGCTTCATTGGATGCCCTTGGGTTCTAGTACTTCGGCCAGGAAACATCTGTATGTGCTGTGCTTGTCCCCCCCCCCCAAAAAAAGTGGGTAGTAACTAGTGGTGTGCAAAAAAAAAATCGGCCCAATTCGGATTCGGGCGAATCGGGCGGAATCTGATTCGGCTAGCCAAATGACCTCCGTATGCCACTTTCGGCAATGCAAGCCGATAGGGGTAGCATTCGGCCAGCTGAATCAAATTCGGCTCAGTTATATCCTATGGGGTATGCAGTAAAGGGAGCCGGCTGCCCTGCAAGCTAGCTCCCCCTGCCTCCCCGGTCCACCTGCCGAGGCGGGTGAGCCAGGAAAGGCCTGGGACGAGACATGCCTCCCTGTGCCTTCCCTGGCTGGCGGCTGCTTTTTGGGCAGCCGCCGAAATGCCGCCAAACTTCAGTGGCAGCTTTCGGAGGCAGGCCAAATCAGATTAGAGAAATTGATTCAACCTCTGGCTGGCCGAAAGGGGGCCGGATGGGCTATTTTCGGGGGTGCATTCGGTTCGGACAAACTGAATGCACATCCCTAGTGGTATCCCCTTACTGAAGAGTTCAGATGTCCCAGAAAACATTGGATTGTCTGGAGATCTGTCAGCAGAAGGCCCTGATGATTATGGATTCTTCCGGTGTTCCTCTCCTTTAGTGGTCCTTTCTAATCCTGGGAAAATTGATTCCTGGGTTTGTAGGACCTCTGGGGTGGGGTGATAACTGTGCCCGTTATCAGTGGGATCTGTGCTGATCAAACAGAGGCTGGATGGCCATCAAACGGCAATGCTGATTCTGTGAACTGAGGCAGGTCATGAGACGGGAGGGCAGGAAGGGTTGCATCAGCGCTTAGTTTTCGGTGCCCTTCCTTACACACCCAAGGAAATGCCAATTGCCTCTTTGAGGTCAGGAAGCCATTTTTCTCCAGGCCAGTTTGGCTGGAGGTCCTGGAGGTTTTTGTCATCTTCTGGACATGGAACTGGGGTCACTGGGCATGTGGGGGGGGAGGTATTTGTGGGTTTCCTGCATTGGGCAGGGGGTTGGACTAGATGACCCTCGAGGTCCCTTCCAGCCCTATGATTCTATGATGGCGGAGGGAACAGAAGGGCAATTTTGCCAGTGTCTCCTTCCTGGACACAGCCCTTTCCTTTAAGCCTAGAAATCAGTTTTCCCCAAATCCGTTCGGGATTAAAAGAAGATAAGGACCTCATAAAGTTTCTGCGTTCTGATAAACTAATATTGTGTCTGGAAAAGATGTTACTTTCTATAAAGGACCAAGGGAGTTAAAGCATGGTTGATGCACTTGGAGCGCAGCAACGGATGTAGGACTTGTAACCCTAATCTTCGGAAACAGAGAGCTCTGAGAGTGCCACTTTATCGAGGTTCAGCACTTGGGGCAGATTTCGGCGCTTCGCACAGCATTGCATCAGGTCCTCTTAGTTTTGCCCGGAGGTGCTTGCTTTTTTGGCTATGTTTCGGTTTTTGCTTGTATCAGGCGCGGCTTACAAATAGTAGAATTTACTGGAGAGAGGAATGTGTGTTTTGTAAGAGCTCTTTCAGCTTGCCGACCGACTGCAGCCATGCCCGTTGGTGTCAGGATTAGTCCCCGTGAGGAGCTGCTAGTTAAAATAACGCTGTTCCGTTTCTTCCCGGTTGTCTGCAGCAGCCAAAATCCCTGCACTCGCCGCCGTGGCTTGCATTTTCGCATACTGCATGTCGCTGAAATTCTGAACCATAAACCGCTTGCGTGTGAATCATGTTTTGTGCTTCGTTCTCCCTTTAAGCAAGAAATGATGTTCCCCTGTGATTGCTGCTAGGATGTTGTTCATATATATAAAGGAAGGAATCAGATTAATTGTATGGAGTCCTGGTCCATCGGAGACTCGACCTTGTTCGAGCAACCCTTGAAAACTTTCCAAATCATTGCCGAAAGTCGCACTGTGTAGGTGAGGGATCCGATTTGGGAGTCTGAGCTGCTTGGTTGGATAAACATCGGTTAGAGCACGACCTCCGCTCGGCCGATGGGAACCCAGCAAAGAGCACTTCCGACCCTGTGGCTTTTTCAGACTGTATTGATGGCATCCTTTAAATCTATAGAACAAATTCAAATTTTGCTTTTGGCAGTTAACGCTAGCGGTTGTCACGTTTGTATTCTCGAGGGGAAACGCTCTTCTCCATTCAACGGTCCGTGTTCTGGGGCTGTAATTGTGCCGCGTTAATGGACCCGATTGCAGCTGATCGAATGCTATAATAAAAAAGAGGGCTCCATTAGCTTGAAATTCCAGAGTGTGTACACTCGGGCACAGGTGACATATTGCGCACGAAACCCAGCCAGATGTAACGTCTAAAAGATTCACTTCTGATTTCACCCTTTGGCCATCCTTTTCCTTAGGAGTAGAACTGTTCTGCCAGACTTTTTAGTGCTTGTCCATTGATTGATGGGCTCCCAGTCTGTGCGAGACCAGCACAAGATGTGGAACTATTCCTGAATATTAAGTTCAAAGAGGCCCATAGCTGCAGTGGGGCATCCTGGGGCTAGGCCCCCCCTGACTTACTGGCAAGGTCCCACGACTTCCCATCCAGCCCAGGGCCCCCAAGCGGTGGCAGGTGTGGGGAAGGAGAGGGGCATTCCTTTAATTCAATTAGCCAGTGCCCCCTAAGAAATTTAAACGCCCCCCTCAACTTAAAAAATCCTGGCTACGGGCCTGAGTTCAAATATTTTACCTGTGCCTTAACCTGGAGGTAGGCAATGGCAGGCCACCTTCATTTGTCTCTTGCCTTGACCTGGATAGCCCAGGTAGCCCGGTCTCATCAGATCTCAGGAGCTAAGCAAGGTCGGTCCTGGTTAGTACATGGATAGGAGACCACCAAGGAAGTCAGGGTTGCTACGCAGAGGCAGGCAGTGGCAAACCATCTTTATTTGTCTCTTGCCTTGCCTTGAATAGCCCAGGTTAGCCCAGACTCATCAGATGTCAGAAGCTAAGCAAGGTCGGCCCTGGTTAGAACTTGGCTGGGAGACCACCAAGGAAGTCAGGGTTGCTACGCAGAGGCAGGCAGTGGCAAGCCATCTTTATTTGTCTCTTGCCTTGCCTTGAATAGCCCAGGTTAGCCCAGACTCATCAGATGTCAGAAGCTAAGCAAGGTCGGCCCTGGTTAGAACTTGGCTGGGAGACCACCAAGGAAGTCAGGGTTGCTACGCAGAGGCAGGCAATGGCAAACCATCTGTAGTTGTCTCTTGCCTTGACTTGAATAGCCCAGGCAAGCCCAGTCTCATCAGATCTCAGAAGCTAAGCAGGGTCAGCCCCGGTTAGTCCTTGGATGGGAGACCAACCAAGGAAGTCCACGGTTGCTACGCAGAGGCAGGCAGTGGCAAACCACCTCTCTTTGTCTCTTGCCTTTGGGCTGCCATGAGTCGGCCGCAACTTGACCACCCTTTCCACCACCACCATTTCACCTATAAGCATATATATATGTTGAACTCTCTGGTTACTTTTAGGATGGGCTGTGGCTCAGTGACAAATCATCTGCTTGGCACGCAGAAGGTCTCAAGTTCAATCTTCGGCCTCTCCAGGGCAAAGAATTAGGTGATAGGTGATGGGAAAGACCTCCGCCTGAGACCCTAGAG